TCCACCTCCCTCTCCACCTCCTTCTCTGGGAACCAACTCATCTTCATTGTGCATGGAATGTGTGCGAGTGGTGTGGAGCGAAGAGGTGCAGGCTTGTGAATGGTGCGATTGCTCAATGTGTGAGTGAGTATTCTCCATTGCAGCGTCAACCACATTCTGCTTTTGGCTTGAAGTGTGTCTGTCAGTGCCAACTTGGAGTGTCAGTGCCTACAGCAGGCCTTTAGCGACTGTGCAGAAGTCGTGGTCACCGTCACCTGTGCAGAGTGCAGTGTCCAACCTCAGAATGGGCGTTTCGTGGATCCACCCAGTGCTTCAGACGGTGCACATGTCGTGTTTCAGACATGCGATGCGTAATGGGATGGTGGCATGTAGGTGTGGTGGCAGTAGTACGCAGTCGGACTTCCAAATGCCACTCAACTAACAATGAGGTAATCAGCCTGGTGTTTGGTTGACCAGGCTGTGGTGGATGATGAGTGTGTGGTCACAGTCACCACAGTGGCAGTGGTGACATTGTTGTGGGAAGCGAGAGCAAGTACACTGCAGATGTGGGCGGGAACCAATGAAGAGATGATGCATTTAGACGGTTTGACAATTTGGGAGAGTTGGCGAGGTGGCGATGTGGCGATATGGCAGATAGGTGGGTGGATTGCGCCAGCATTGTGTCGTGAGTCATCAATGCCGCTGAGGAGTGAGGCAGACTTCGCGTGTGCTTCTTTCGATCGTAATGTGATTGTAATTGTGGATTACTCGATGAAAAGCGTTTCGTGTTGGGGGTTGGAAGAATTGTTGTGTGGGGTTTTGTAGGTGCCAATAATTTGGGGGGAGGAAGCAAGGAAGGCTGTCCATTGTATTTTGCTGGAATTTGCATGTGCGTTTCACTTCATGAACTACAGGATGGATAAGTCTACTGAATTCGTTCAGGAGACCAAGGAGGGTCAATGTGGTCCTTGTCTAGTGGTCGCTTCTTCGATGACTCTCTGTAACATGCAGGCAATTGAAAAGTGTATGCAATCGCTTGTGGACAGTCTGTTTGTGTAGCGTTCTTCACAGTGCTCTCCACAGTGCCCTGCCGTCTTTAACCCTCATAAAAATGTACAAAGTCAACTGAACGAACAACAGTAAATTGTTTTCCACAAACTCTTATATTTTCGTGTCAAATAGACTATTTGAATGTAAATCTTGTGTAGTTTTGAAGAAGAAAATAAACATACCATGAATTTTTTATTCACAGCACCCCTTTTTACTTTAGACCCGCAAATTATCTGACACCACCATTAATTTAACCAAAATGGTTGCGAACTAGTACTTGTACTTCTCTGTATTTGACTATACTGGTTTGTTAATTTTTAATGGAAACTATGTACAATTCTTTTTAAGTAAATTAAAAATTTGTGGGTAGACCAGGTTACAGCAAAGCGGACAATTTCAGACTAATTTTTTGCAGTGAAATCCACAC